AAAGAGCTTATGTTTTACTTGGGGAGGGGGGACACATACTGAGAAGAATTTCATCATAGTTTGGTAGTGAGCAGCATGCTGCGGGAGCACAAAGGAGAAATGTAACACTTAGCACGATCTTGGGGCTTAGGAGGAGGTTCCTTGAGGATATAAGGCCACAGAGTTCTTATCAAAGAAGGTAATGTCAAATTTTCACTAGTCCTAAAGCACATTCAAAAGCCAAATTAGTTACATTTTAAAAATCCCATGAACACAGATAAAGAAGCAGTTTTCAGACACCAACTGGGGTAAAACTCTTCCATTAATTTACAACTCTTCCCAGCACCATTTATTTCATCCTCTGCCACTAATTAAAATACTTTTTAAAAATCGACTTCAGGGCACTTTTTCTCATCCTACAAGAATATTTCCATTTATAAAGCTGAAAATTTCAATTATATACTCCAAGGTCAAAACCTTCCTCACTAGAAAGGACAGTAATAAAGAGACCACAGCAAAAAAGAGACAGACACACACACACACACACACACACACACACACACACCCCATAGCAATAGGTTTAGATTTCTGCTTCACCACATCCCTAAAAGAAACTCCTTCGCTTTCTTCCTGCTCCTTTCCGTAGCTGTCAGGACAGGTTCTCAGGAAATATACTCCATCCACTCTCCTGCATGATGAAGCGAAATGCTCTCTGGATCTCATCTCAACCAAGGTTGGCCTTGACCCACCCAGGAGAAAGCCAAGCATTGCCTCACACAGCAAGTCACTGTCTAACAAATCCAAGACACTGAGGCCAGAACTCACTCCACAAGTAATCAGGACAAATTCATTTAAGGTAAATTTAAATCCATTAAAGCTAAACATAGACATACCTTATGCACCACAATTCAACTCCCAGGCATATAACCAACAGAAATGTGTTTGCCAAAAGATGTACTAAAATGTTCAGAGCAGCAGTATTAGTAATAACCAAAAAGAAAAGAAAACCCAAATGCCCATCAATAGAAAGGGTAAATAAATTTTGATAAAGGTGATCAGAATTGGGATAAAGCAAAATCATGTCATCTGACAGAATGCAATGAAAAAAGAACACAGCATCACTTCTATGGTATTCTTGCTTAAAATGTATAACTTGAATCTAAACATGCAGAAACATCAGACAAACCCAAAATGAAAGATATTGTACAAGATAACTAGCTGATAATCTTCAAAAGTAACTAAGTCCATGAAAGTCAAGGAGAAACTAAGAATCTGTTCCAGACTGAAAGAGACTAAAGAGACATGACCAGTAAATAACACATGTGATTTAGGTTTGGGTGCTTATGGGAATTAAATGGTAATAACATATCAATATTAATTTCTTTATTTTGACAGCTGAATTATGGTTATATGGAAAGTACCCCATTTGTAGGAATTACACACTAAAAAATATTTTGATTGATAGGATATCAGGCTGAGAACTTATTCTCAAATGGTTTAGAGAAAAAGTTATTATATTAGAAACTTTGGAATTCATAGAGTTTTGTCTTTTCTCTCAGTATATTTAGATACTCCATTCTCTAACCAAAAGTGGAAAAGAATTATAAATTTTTTTTTTTTTGGAGAAAGAATCTCACTTTTGTTGCCCCAGCCAGAGTGCCGTGGCATTAGCCTAGCTCACAGCAACCTCAAACTCCTGGGTTCAAGTATTCCTTCTACCTCAGCCTCCCGAGTAGCTGGGACTGTGCAGGCATGCGCCACCATGCCTGGCTAATTTTTTCTATATATTTTTAGTTGGCTAATTAATTTCTTTGTATTTTTAGTAGACATGGTGTCTCAATCTTGCTCAGGCTCATCTAGAACTCCTGAGCTCAAACGAACCTCCCACCTCGGCCTAGAAGAGTGCTAGGATTACAGGCATGAGCCACCGCACCCGGCCTAAGAATTATAAAATTTTTGCAAAAATCTGCCACATATCCTTCTTTCTATACTGGATTATTACAAAGATAAACTGAACAGCATGCATATATATATAATCACAATTCCACTCCCAGGCATATAATATATATATATAGAGAGAGAGAGAGAGAAATACCTTCAATAATCTCAAAGAAAAATGTAAAAAAATGTTACTCTCAAGGCAAATTTATTAAACAGTTAAAATGTATTAAAAATTTATTTAAGCCTTGCAATACACAAGGTCAGAAGTAGCTTTGAAACCCCAAAAGCGAAAGAATTTCAGATTCATTTTCATAATCATGATTAGATTACTTAGGCATTGGGCAGCTTGGCTTACATAGAAATTACAAAGTGAAAATCTTACATTTAATACGCATTAAGCATCCACTAGGTAGCAGACAGTTGTTGTCCGCCTCCCCAGCATCATTCTCTCCTCTCCCTATTCCTAACAGTCATCCACTTCTGTTGGGGATGTCATGGTTTCAGGAACATGCTGCCTCTCAGCTCCCATGATCCTCTAACTACAGGGGTGGACACATGACCTTATGCTAGGCAATCCCTTCAACCACAATAATTGGTTTAGTGATAGGCATGTGATACAGGTTGAGTTGTGTCCCCTAAAAGTCCTAACCCCTAGTACCTCAGAATGTGAGATCTTATTTACAAATAAGATCATTAAAGACATATTTAGTTAAAATGAGGTCACACTGGAGTGGGGGACCGTCTAATCCAATATGACTGGTATCCTTATAAAAAGTAGAAACTTGGGGTGCACCAGGAGAATATCATGTGAAGACTGGAGCTATGCCGTCACAAGTCAAGGAACTTGTGAAGCTACATGAGAGACCTGGAATATATCTTTCCCTAGCACCTTAGAGTGAACATGGCCATGCTGACACCTTGATTTCAAACTTCTGCCCTCCAGAACTGTGAGACAATAAATTTCTGTTGTAAGACACTCAGTTTGTAGTACTTTGCTATGGCAGCTATAGGAAACTAATATAGCATATAATTTAAGCCAATTCAAGTACAGTAAATATTAAGACTAAAAACAGAAATTCTGGGACAAAGAAACTCTTTTGAATGTATGCAATATAAATGTAAAGCCTGATCCAATTGCAGCCACTTTTGCTACCATGAGAGAAACCAGACTAGAACAAAGCATATATATAAGGGTAAAGACAACTGCAGGGAACTAGCTGGAACACTCATCAAGTTATGTCTAAAGCTCATACTACATCTGTACTTCTAAATTTTATGAGCTAGCAGATTTCATTTATTGGTTAAGATAGCACCAGTTAGTTTCCTGTTACCTGCAACTGGAAAAGAAAATACTAACTAACACAGACACCAAGCTAGGTACCAAGAACAGAATTCCACTCAAATGAGTTCCTAAATTATTAACAGTTCCTCAAAAAATTGAAACGTCATTATACATTATACCATATAATAAGTTTTGGTGGTTCTAGGGTAGGTTGATTCAGCAACTCGATGACCTCAACAAGGATTCAGAGTCTTTCCATCTCTCTACATGCCTATCTTCAGCAAACTGTGTTGTCTTCAAATTACCCACCTATTCCAAGATGTCTATAGCTATCCCAGGCATCGCATTCAGATACAACAATATCCAGAGGGAAAAAAGAACTATTTCATCCATGCACCCATTTTTTTAGCAAGAAAAACTTTTCTCAGGAGCCCCCAAACAACAAACTCATATTTTTCAGCCAAAATTACACTTTGTCACATGCACAGATCAATACTTTTGGAAAGGAGAAGGAAACCACTATGATCAGCTTAAAAGTAATATCAACACCATAGAAGCTTTCTAAAATGTATGGTGATGTTCTGGGTTGTCATGGAGACTGAGGGTCACTGTTGGTATTTAATAGATAACAGGGCATGTCCAAAGTGCTGAAAAATATATGGCTTTTTCACACAAAGAAGTGCTGTCCAAAATGTCAACAGAGAGAAAATGGGTGAATGAAACCAAGAATAATAAAAGAACGGGAATGGCCTATAATCAGACAAATATCACTGTCTTCTACAGAACTTCACAGTAATAAAAGATACTATTCTTATCTATAAATATAGTCCAGGGTGACAGATAATCAAAGAAACAATTTAAAAGCACCAACGTTAATGAGCATAAACAATAGAGGATTAGGGATGGAACAATAATATTAACAGTTATTAAACACCAATCATACTAGGTGTTTTCATAAATTGCCTCATTTAATAAAAACTGAGTTAATAATTTAGTCTTCATACATGCTGATATAGCTAAATATATGTTTGGGTAAACCCAGAGAATCAATAAAAATTATTTATACCAGAAAATACTATAATTTTTTAACTCAAAAGGAAAGCTTGGCATATGCTTACACTATAATCAATATAGTTTTTAAAAGCCACATCATACAACTTTTTAGTCCTCTCCTGCATTAAGTACAAAAAAGTATTAAAAAACTAGACCCAGATTAAAAGACAACAACACTATAAGATGTGTATAGTTTTAAGATGTCACCACTTACGAGTCATGCTTTCAACAAACTACTTTAAAAGCACTGATCATGTCATTTGTTCAACACAACTACCTCCAATTTCACCCAGTACTGGGCTGTTTATTGCAGCACTAGTATGTCACTATTTTAAGTACATAAGTATTAAGACTTTCTTCTATATTGCCCTCTACTGATACTGAATACTAATTAAGAACAGAAATCTAGAGGTTATAACCACCACAGGCCACATTAATTGTTAGAAGCCATATATGAAGTCCATCTCCAAGGAAAAAAGACATGACCTTAAAGAAACCCAGAGAGGCCACCCAAAAAATTAATCAGCTCACCATTAGTATTAGGAGAAAGAAATTAAAAAATCAACTATGAGTAGTAACAAGTAAAACCTAAGGAGTTCTAGAATTGATAGTACAACATCAGAGGTAATCTGAATAACATTATGAAAATTAAATTATTTCCTACAAAAGTACAGAGTAAAACTACCAAGGGTATATAATTGAAAGCGTGAACATGTCAAATGCAGAAATAAAGTGAAATACTTACTGCCAAAGCCTTGGACAGTTTGGCTCTAAACTCATTCAGGATGATTGCCACAATATCCTTAAGTGGTACGTAAGCAAAGCCAGCTTCCAAATAGACTTTCCTTCCTCGAAACAACTCCAGAGCATCAGCAAAAGGGATCTGAATTCAGAGTAAAACAGGGAAAATAAGTCAGCACCTGTCACTAAGACATCCTCCTAAGTCTTCTTATGTATTAGTCTAAACAAAGAAATTCATTAGTGGTAGCAGATACAAAAGAAAAGCAAAAAGCTCAATTTATACTCCTTAAAACTAAACAGCATTAAGGAGCAGCAGTATAAAACTATGTTCGTTTCTGAGTAGATGCTTTGAAAAATAACAATACTAAAATGCCAAGTTAGAATACTTTCTTTTTATCTTTAACCTCTGCATTTACAAATTATAATCCCCAGAATTTTAAACTCCTAACTCAAGACCTTTAAGCATATTGCATTCACCTCCTGTAACATACCCCACATTTTATTCTGAATCAAATAAAATCCTAATTCGTATTCAACATATTCAGTGCCAAAAATTACATGTAAGTAAAATAATTCCAATTTCTTCCAAGTTTCCATTCTTACTCTAAAGAAATATATTGGAAAAGCTAAGCTAACCTTGACACCAGGAAATGAAAATAATAAACATTCAGTTTTGCTATGAAAACAAGTATTCACCATATTTATTTAAAAAATATATTCTACTTAGATTTTTAAAGTCCTATGAACTATCCTAGAATTCTAAGAGATGAGCAGAATATGATACTGATAAACTGTAAAAATTATCCTCACTCTCCAATAAGAGTTTTTCTCCTTTTCAAAAATGAGGTTAAAAAAAAGTTAGATGAAAAAATGATCCCCAAATTGCCTATTCATCTAAGTTTTAGGGAAGAGTCAAATCTGTGCGCCAAAAATTCTTTTGTATACTCAATGACACCACACACTATAAACAGATCGTGTGGTTATTAACAGATAGCTTTTGATTAACTGATTTCTATGACAATCACAGTCCTTGCCCTCAAGAAGCTCATTACTTAGTTGAAAAAAACAACAAGACAGACACATATGGAAAGTCAGAGAGCCCTGCAGGGCAGTACTGTGTGATATTACACCAGACTGGTAGTTCATACAGCACTTACTAGAGGACCAGGTATGAGGGTTTACTGCTATCATACAGGCAAGAAAAGGAGACAGAACTTTAGAAACGTGAGTTCTAGTCTAAGCTCTGCTACTGACTAGACTTATGATTCAGCAAATTTAATGAATGCCTCTAAACCTCAATAGCCAGATCTGTGAAACTGAGAAAGAGGAGGAAGAGATGGGCTAAATGACCCTTAGGGGTTCTTTAGCTATAATATTCCATGATTCTAGCTTATTAAGGTGGTCATAGCAGAAATAAAAATGTCCGAGCAGAAGCAAAAGATGATATAAGCGCAGAGTAACGGGAAATGTGTGGTGTGAGAGGAATAAATATTGATTCCTACACTCTAAGCTTGAAAGGCTGACTGAATGATGGCCCAACAGGTAGAAAACTGGAATAGGGAGCTAACACGGTGGCAGGATTTTAAACAGAAACTGGAATAGGGAGCTAACACGGTGGCAGGATTTTAAACTCCTGGCACGCACTCACGATAATCAGCGTGTTCTTTTCAAAGGAAATGTAGGGTTGAGGTTGTATAAAATGAATTTCAGCTGTCCTCACTTCCTCTTCTCAAACCATCCAGTCCAAAAGCCATTTATTTGGTGGGTTCATGCAAAACAGTTGCCTATGCTGAGGGGTGGAGGGAACCTGAGGCAGCCCAGCACAGGATGCTGGAATCTCAGAAGGTTAAGGAAGCCGTTCCCACTGAAGAACAAGTAGGCTTACAGTGTCAGAGCCCAAGAGAAATGAGAGAGAGAGAGAGAGAGAGAGACACAGACAGACAGACACAAGATGGAGGGGGGAGCAATCCAAAGCATGGCACCAAAGGCCAAGAGCAACGAAGGGGGCTTCCGTGCAAGGCAGTGATCCAAATAGGGTGTTAGAGCCAAGTGATGAGAGTATTCTAGCAGGGGACAGCCCAGCCCAGGGCATAGAAGCCTAAACAATGCGAGGAGAGTATTCCTTTAAGAAAATGGCCTGCAGTAGGTGGTCAAAGCCCAAGCAGGGTTAGGAGGGCGTCTGTGTGAGGGGACAGCCAAGCACAGAATGTCGGCATGCCCTTAGTACCATCAGGACGCCGTCTGTGCAGGACAGGGAGTAGCTGTGGTGATGAGAGGCGATACAAATGGGTTAAGTAAACATACACATAAAGCGCAATGTGACAAATTTAACAAAACCTAGGAAATATTTTAAATGTTTACATACCTTATAAACCGACTCTGACTCCAAGATAGCCCCATTTAAACTTGGTGATGAAGCAATAATGTCCTTTTCTCGGGAAGCCTTCTCGTCGTCACTTAAAAAAAAAAAAAAAAAACACAATTTTAAACTGTTTAAAAAATTTAAAGTCCTCATTCAGTTTCAATAAAATGCTTTCCTACTCTAGTGAATAATCTATGTTAATAAAAAATCATAAACCCTGATATCTCAAATAATTCCTAATATGATTAGTAAATCATTATGATTAAAGAAGACAGAATATGGAAGAAAATCTAAATTCAACATTCTTTCAAATTTTAACTCTCCCAGTTTCTAAAGAAGTACACCAAAACAGCAGCAGCAGAGCAACAGAAAGTATTATACTAATAAAAAGGAAAAAATTATAATAAAAATTCAGGTTAAGACTAAAGAGTGTTACCCCAATTCAAAAGTTATGTTAATTTATTAAAATACCTATTTGAAGTTAGAATGGTTTAACTATTTCTCAATAATCTACCCACATAAAGCAATCCCAACCTTAAAACATTAGTTTTGCTAGGAACAACTATAAGTTTATTATCTCAGACTTATTATGGCCTTATAAAAGAAAAGAGTGACAGGTCTGACCAGCTATAAGCTTTAAACTTCTATACCAAAAAATATATACATATCTGTAAATGAAGATGAACTAGAAACAACAAACTGAAAGAAATATTTACATCATATGACAACTGAATTACCCTCAGTAACCCCTAGGTACTAGTACACAAGTACTAGCAACCCATAAGTAGTAAAACATGAACAGCCAATATTCATAAAAGCAATAAATGGTAAATTAAAGTAATAATGTAAACTATTTCTACCCATTAAAATGTGAAAGTTAAAAAGATTTAGAATATACAATGTTGGGACAATCTTTGTGTAGGGCACTTTGGCAATATATATATCAAATAGCCTTAAAAAATGCAGACTCTGGCCGGGTACAGTGGCTCACGCCTGTAATCGTAGCACTCTGGGAGGCTGAGGCAGGCGGATTGCTCAAGGTCAGGAGTTCGAAACCAGCCTGAGCAAGAGTGAGACCCCGTCTCTACTATAAATAGAAAGAAATTAATTGGCCAACTAATATATATAGAAAAAATTAGCTGGGCATGGTGGCGCATGCCTGTAGTCCCAGCTACTCGGGAGGCTGAGGCATAAGGATTGCTTGAGCCCAGGAGTTTGAGGCTGCTGTGAGCTAGGCTGATGCCAGGGCACTCACTCTAGCCCCGGCAACAAAGCGAGACTGTGTCTCAAAAAAAAAAAAAAAAAATAATGCAGACCCTAACAATTTTATTTCCAGATTAATCTGAAGTAAATAACAGAACAAGTATGCAAATAGGAACAATGTTTCTTCATCACAGAGTTACTTACAAAGAAAAAAAACCGAAATGTCCAACAAGTATCTGGTTAAATGAATTGCAGTAGAACTTGCTGTTTCAGCAAAGCAGGCAGACATTATTCAGGTCAACCTCTTACAAAAAATGAAAACACTGATAAAATTTTAAAACATCATCTTTGCAGCACAAAAGGTCAATATACAAAGTCAGGTCCACACAAAGTGGGGTATCTAAGAAGAGACGCTTCTGCTCAAATGGCATGGGTTATCAGGGAATCCCAAGCCTTGAAATTGTTTTAAGGTAGTCCCTGATTCCAGTGCCCCAGGCACCTGGCAGAAGCAAACTCAAATCCTCTCTGGAGAAAAGTACCTTCACAGTATGCCTCCAAGTACTCCACCAATAATTTTTCAAATACAATGTCAAGTACATTTTATAACAAGGCATATAATAAAACTATACTTCATGAGATAACAAAGCACACCAGAAATGAAAACAAGATATGTAAGGCAAATAAAGTATAATAGGAAAAGAAGAAACAAATCTCTCTTTATTCCCAGACTATTTGATTAGTATACTTAAAAAATTCAGAAGGCTCCACCAATAAATTATTAGAACTACTGGCCTAATTAAGCAATTGCTGGACTCAAATATAGAAAAACCAATTGTATTTCTATATGCCAGCACCAATGGAATTTTTTTTAAAGCTACCATTTACAACAGAATCAAAACTATCAAGGACCTAGGAATAAATCTAACAAAAGATGTGCAAGACCTCCACAAAGAAACTATAAAACCTTACTGAAACTAGAGAAAATCTAAATTACAGAGATACCTCCAGATATGAACCAGAAAACTTAATATTGTAAATGTTGTATTCTCCTCAAAAAAATCCTATAGATTCAATACAATCCCAAACAAAATCACAATAACCCGTGTGTGTGGACATTTACAAGCTGGTTCTAAAATATACACGAACATGGAAAGGGCTAAGAACAGTGAAGACAAAAATAAGAAAAAGATAGTCAATCCAATAGAAAAATGAGCAAAGAAATGAATAGGCACCTTAACAAATGAAAAATTCAAAGGGTCAATAAATATGTGAAAAGATGCTCAACCTTCTTAGTTATCAGGGTAGTACAAATTAAAACCATAGTGAATCTCTATGACACAGCACTACACAACCATTAAGATGGCTAAAATATAAAAATGAAAAAAAAAATGTTAGTGAGGGTGTAGAGGAATAGGGACTGTCATATATTTTTGATGGGAATATAAATAGTACAGCCCCTTTGGAAAAATATTTGGCAATTTCTTACAAGACTAAGAAAATCTACCCCTAAGACCTAGCAATTCCATGCCCAGGCTGGGAAAAATGAAAATATATGCCCTCCTCAAAAAGACTTATATGGTCCCATTTATATGAACTTCCAGAACAGGTAAAACTTATCTATGGTAGAAAAAGATTTCAATAGAAGTTGCCTCTTACAGGGGCAGAGACAGGGATTTACTGGGATGGAGCATGAGGAAACTTTCTGGGCTGACAGTAATGTTCTGTATCTTAATAAGAATTTGGGTTGCACACGTTTATTGTATTTGTCAGAACTCATGAATGGGTACACTTAACATCTGTGTACTTTATAGTATGTAAATTTTGCCTTAAATAAAAAAAGATAACTGTTAACAAATGTAGAACTCTAGTTAATAATATGCATGCTCTTAGTATTTGGTTGGAAGTATACTGATTTCTGCAAACTTACCTTGAAATGGACTGGTGGGTGGATAGAGAAATAGATAATATATGATAAAACATATATAGTAAAATGTAAATGTAGCATCTAGGTGATGAGTACAGGTAGATTTTTACTTTCAAATTCTTGCAACTTTTCTGTAGTTTGAAAATTTTCATATTACAATTTTGGGAGCAAAATAAGACAATGATGATGCTACTTCACATCCACCAAGACAGCTGAAATTAAGTCAGAAAATGTGGATGAGAACATAGAGCAATGAGAACTCTCTTACCCTACTGATAGGATTGTAAACTGGTATAACCACATCAGAAAATTAGACATATCTCGTGAGTTGAAGGTAAACATACACTATACCTTGGCAATTTTACTCCTAAGTATATACCCTGGAACACAGATAAGCAAACTGTTCCTAGAAAAGGCCCTATAGTTACTAGTTTAAGCTTTGTGAGATATATGGTCTCTGTCACAAGTACAGTCATGTGCCACATAATGAATGACATTTCAGTTAACAACAGACTGCATATATGACAGTAGTCCCATAAAATTATAATATTGGAAAGATATTCCATGCTCATGGATTGGAAGAATTGATGTTGTTAAAATGTCCATTCTACCCAGAGCAATCTACAGATTCAATGCAATTTCCGCCAATACCAGTAACATTCTTCACAAAAACAGAAAAAATAATCCTAAAATTTATATGGAACCACAAAAGACCCAGAGTAGCAAAAGCCATCCTGAGCAAAAAGAACAAAACTGAAGAAATCACATTACGTGACTTAAAATTCTACTACAGAGTTGCAGTAACCCAAACAGCATGGTACTGGCATAAAAACATAGACCAATGGAACAGAATAGAGAACCCATACATATACCCACACATCTATAGTAAACTGATCTTCAATGAGGGTCCCAACAACATATGGTGGAAAAAGGACAGTCTCTTCAATAAATGGTGCTGGGAAAACTGGATATTCACAGGCAGAAGGATGAAACTAGAACTTTATCTCTCACCATATATAAAAATCAAATCAAAATAAAAACTGAAATCTAAGACCCGAAACTATGAAACTACTGAAAGAAATCTTTGGGGAAACACTTCAGAACATTGTTCTGGGCAAGGGTCCTTGAGTAATACCCACAAAGCAAAGGCAACCAAAGCAAAATTAGACAAATGGGAATACATCAACCTAAAAAGCTTCCACACAGCAAAGGAAACAATAAACAAAGTGAAGAGACAGCCCACACAATGGGAAAGAATATTTACAAACTATCCATCTGACAAGAGATTAATTACTAGAATATATAAGGAGCTCCAACAATTCAATAGGAAAAAAAAAAAAAATCAAGAAATCTGATAAAAAAGTGGACAAAGAATCTGAACAGACATTTCTCAAAAGAAGACATACAAATGGCCAATAGGTATATGAAAAAATGCTCAACATCATTAGTCATCAGAGAAATGCAAACCAAAATTACAATGAGATAAAAATGGCTTTTATCAAAAAGACAGGCAATAATGAATGCTGGTAAAATGTGCAGAAAGGTGAACCCTCTTACACTGTTGGGGGAATATAAATTAGTGCAATCGCTATGCAAAACAGTATGAAGCTTCCTCAAAAAAGTAAAAACACAACTACTATATGACCCAGCAATTCTACTGCTGGGTATATATCTAAAGGAAGGGAACAGTATATCAAAAAGATATCTGCACTCTCATGTTTATTGCAGCACTATACACAGAGTCAAGATTTGGAATCAACCTATGTATTTATCAGTTGGATGAATGGATAAAGAGACTGTGGTGTATATATACACAATAGCCATTTGCAACAACATGGATGGAACTAGAGGACATTATGTTAAATGAAATAAGCCAAGCACAGAAAGACAAATCTTGCATGTTCTCACTCATATGTGGGAGCTAAATATTAAAAACAATTGATTTCTTGGAGACAGAGAATAGAATG